TCTGTAAAGATAATTTCTAAATGTGATCGTGTTCCTTTAGTAAGATGTTGTTTAGCTGCGATGATGTCATTTTTAGCTGTTTCGAATAAAGATGACATAATTTCATTAAAAGAGCATCGTAGGCTTTGTATATCAATAATGAGAGCATTTTCATTTTTTGATTTAATTGTGTTTCTAGAAGAAAAGGATGAGTAAGTTGACTGACCTCTTTTAAGTTTGGGAAAGAGACTTGACTATTTTTTTGTTAGTGGTTCAGTTATTCTACTGGAGCTAGAAGTTGTGTTTCTTTCCAAAGTGGAGTCCCCTTGTTCATTCCTTGGTTCATTTTGAGTTGTTGTTTCCATGTTGTTTTTGTTACCTGTACTAGTCTCGGAGACCTCATTGTCACGTGTTGTTGTTTGAATGTTATCTTCATTATATGTACTAGTTTCAAAGACCTTTTCATTATATGTATCGACTTCAATAACCTCTTCATTGTGTGTAGAAGTATTGTTGTTTTGTTCTAAAAGTGTTTCTATGTTGTCATTTCTTTCTACTAATGAGATTTTCTCTTTTGTTATGTATGTTCTATTTTCTTTAAGTTCTTCTTTTTGTGTATTTGTTATTTTCTTGAGTTCCTTAGTTTCTTGAGCTACTTGTTCATCCTAGCTAGGGTTGCTTTTGCTGATATGTTCTAGTGAACCTGAGTTATTGCCTTCTACTTGTATAGGCTTCTCATTTTTGGTGTTTTCCTTATTAGCGTTTGTTGTTGTTTTTTGTTTTTTTGCCATAGTGCCAAGCTTTTGTATCGTTAAAAGCTTTAAAAGATCTTTTTCTTGTAACAAGAACAAGTGCCCTTGCTTTGAAACCTTTTTTAAGATTGGTTGTCTTGTTGTTGTAGTTTATTTTCCTAGTTAGTTTCACTCTACTTCCAAATGTGTATGGTCTAGAAAGAGTGTATGCAGATCTTTTCATGTATGTTGTTTCTTAAAGACCATCTGATAAATTTTATATGTTCTTTTTTTGTTTTCCCTAGTATGTTATATGCTAATATATTTATAAGTAACCTGTTGTTCTGATTACAATTTCTTTTGCTTGAAGCCCATATGCTCTTTTCAAGTAGTTCTCCTACTATTTTAATTTTTTTTGACTTCTAGTCAATGTCTTCTTGTTCTTGCTTCTCTTTTTGTTTTTCTGTGTTTCTTTTTTGACTAGATGAATTCTTTTTTTCTTGATTATTGTTTAACTGACTTACCTTTATGCTTACTTCTCTTTGTGTATTTTCTGCACTGTTCTGCACTTTTTTTTTAACTGCTTCTTCAATTTCTGTTTTTCTTTCCTGTGGTGTATTGTATGCTTCTTTTTGTTTATAGTTCAAGTTTGTCTATTGTTGTTGAATTTCTTTTCTTTTGTCTTGCATGTGTTTTATTGTAGATTCTTGTATTATACTATTTTTGTTTTGTTTGCTAACGTTGATTCTCTTTTCTGACTGCTCATCTTCTGCTTTCTTAATTATTTCTCTAGTTATATATAACAAAGCTACCTCTAATACATCTTGTTCTGTTAGCATAGCTATAATTTTATCTTCTCTGTCTGGTGTCACAGATATTCTACTAGCTTGGTTAAAAAACACCTTGTTATATATGCTATTTACTGCCCAATATGTTCTTCTAATGTATGTTGTTATTAGACTTTCTTTTCAGTTTTGTGTGCTACTCATATTTAGTCTAATTATTATTAGCTCTTATTTGTTGCTTGTTGTTTTAGAGCTTTCTATGCTTTATGTCTAACACTATTCAAATTAGGCTTGTTTGTATGTTTTTTAATGCACATATTTGTTTTGTTTGTCTATTCACATGTTGCTATAATTTACAAATCTGCATTTCTAAGTTACAGAGGATTTCTCAAAATTTTGCTTTTCAAAAGTGTCAACTGAGATGTTTTCCTTTCTATCTTCTTTACTAGGTCTTCTAATTTTCTACTTTTCTTCTTATTATACCTTCTTTACAAGCTCTATCTTTTTTGTTAGACCTGTAGAGTTAGTTTCAACAGTCATTTTCTGGTAAACTTCTAAAATACTGTTCTACAATTTTGTATACAAGTGATTAGTAAGAAGAGTTGTATTGCATAATTTATATATAAAAAGTAATATTTGTTTTAAGAGCAAAAATTTTTTCTAACTTTGAAAACATGAAATTTTAAAAAATCTAAAAAATATTTTAATAGTAAACCCTAATATTATACAACTTTTAAACTTTAATTAATTAAAAGTTTTTTAATAAAATTAAAAAAAGTTTCTTAACAAAGTTTATAAAGTAGGTTTTTAAAAATATTTTTTACTTAAAAAGTATATTGCTAAAATTAATTTTTAAAATTTTATTATACATAACTCTTTCTGATTGACCTATAAAAATTATATAGTTAGCATGTTTATATATAACAAAACTTTACTGTATAGTGTCTGGGTTTAAGAGTTTCAAATTGCATGTGGGCCATATGAAAAAGAGTTGAAAAAGACAGCTCTTTGTGGGTTTGGCTCTCTGATAAAAGTTTATGAAGTTATCAGAAAAGTAACTTTGGCTACAACCAAGAAGTTTTGTCAAGCTATATTTGAGCAACAGCAAAGATAAAAGCTTGGTTGAATATGCTATTCTATATAATGTAAACTTCTACATTTATTACAGTTGGTACTTTAAAAATTCTTTTTTTACTTTTTTCCAAGAAACTTTTATCAAAAAGTAGGCAATTTAGTTTACCTTCATCAAAATCAACATTGTTGATCCTTCCAAATTGGGATTGTTTATCAGTTCTATTTGGAAAAAACACAACATTGAGATGAGATTAGAGATTTTTAATAAAGATAAGATGATTGGTTGAAAATGTAACAAGTGTCGAAATGTAAGATCTGATGAAAAGTATGATGAGTTGTATATGAAGATGGATTCAGTAACAAGAAGTTGGAGCATCTAGCATATAGAAAATTCTCTGCCAATTCAGTTTTGTTTGAATTGTTTTCCTTAGGATATAAGCTTTAGTATTAAATATGTTAATTGGTACACTTTCAGTAACAATACAAAAATAACAAAATTTCACAAAAACTAAATAAAAACTTTTTTTTAAAACTTCTCTGATAGGGCTAAAGCCCTTATACCCAAGAAAAGAAACTTATTTCTGTCAAACATGAGCAGCTTAATACTCAAGAGACCAAAACTTCTTGATACTAGAGCCAAAAAAAAGAACTTTGACTTGTCATCAAAACAAGAAAAAACTCCTATTGTAGAAGCAAAAACAGCAAACACACCATATTTACCAAATAGTAAACAAAATAAAGCAACAACCAAGGTGATGAAAACTGGGCCAGTAACATAGAACAAGAAGAAAAACCAGTTGATAAAGGCAAACAAAAAGCTACTTCTTCTACAAGTAAAAACAACAAAGTAAAAAACAACAAGACATATGCAGTAGTAAATACAGAAAACAACAAACAAATAGATACAGAACACATGCATATCACACATGACAAAATTGATACACAAGACAAAATCATTGATAGCACAACATCAGATGATATGAATGACAAACCAGCTAACAACAAACCCAAGCAATGGTCAGATTTATTCTTGAAGCTAAAAGGAGACAAGGCAACCTTCTCTAACATAGCACCCAGAAACAAGATCTATTTTAAGAATAAAAATGCTTTTGTTTTTGACATTTCTAAGCTTACCAATATACCTACCAATGACATCATCTCAACTCTCTACATCAAACTAGAAGAAGATATGCTAGCAGCAAAAACTTACATTATCAGAGACAGACTGGCTCTCTTAGAAATAGCCTTCTTAGATAAAGACAAACAACAACTGTATACTTCAGAAGGAATTACAATGTTTAAACAAACATCCTTTGGATATGTTCCAGTTAATCTTAAGCATACATTTCTTTTAGTTAAATTGAAGAACACACCAATAGGCAATAAAGAAGTTATTAATGAACAGATTAAGGAAGCTTTCCAGAACCCCAATATACTCTGACCAATGGATTGTAACTTTTGAAATATCAAATAATCCAAACCTGATGGTCAGACTACCTAGACACACATATGTTGGTAACCACAAAGTTACTACAGACTGAAAGAAGGCTCCAAAAATATGTTATTACTATAAAAAAACAGAACATATTAAAAAAGAATATGCAGAACTTAGAGCTTTAATAGAACTAAAACAGTTACAAAAAGAATGAAAGAAATTCTTAATAGAAACAAACAAATTTAACCAAAAAATGCAAACAGAAAATATATCCTACAGTTCAGAAAACCTATATATCTCAGATATAGTCACAGAACAAGATGGACCAAACACTAATATACCAAATCCTAATCACCTAAAAGAAAACAACTTAATCAATACTATAGATGATCAGAACTTAACCTTTGAGGAAAACACAGCTAGTATCTCTATTTCAAAACATGGTTCACCTTTAATAGAAGCTAATTACAAGAACACAAATAATGAAACATCTGCTACAAACTATGACCAAGATATAACAATAGAACTATTGGACTGTAACAAAAAAAACAAAACTGAAGAGAAAGAATTTACTTTGATCACTTCAAAAAAGAACAACTGAAAAGGAAACAAGAAGAAAACCCTTACAACAAGTGAGAAAAGTAATAAGAATAGGACAGAGAATGCCCAAACAGACTTCTCTTCCTACTAGTTAATAATTCTCACTCAGAACAAACTGCTGTGTGGCCAACATATCTCTTTATATCTCATGATTAAAATTGCTACACTGAATATTAAGGGCCTTAACAATAAAGTTAAAGCTCAAAAAACTCTAATACTTTTAAAGTCTTATAAGTTAGATATAATATTTATCCAAAAAACAAATCTAAATGATCCTGCAACAAGAAATTTTCTAGCACAACAATGAAATTACAACTCAATTTGGTTTTTCAAAACAGCTATTCTAATTAAAAAACTAAATATTAAACTAAAAAACTCCAAAATCTTATACAATGACAGAGTAATATCAGCAAAAGTAACCTTCAGAAATAAACTTTATTTATATACAAATGTCTATGCACCCCTCAGTTGAAATAATAGATATCAATTCTTCAACAACTGAACACCAATTAATGATAACAGTGCTATTACTATCATAGCAGGGGATTTTAACACCAATTTGGATCCTTAAATTAACTGCATTAGTCAAGCACCTTTGCAAAATGATCCTTCTAGAACATTGCTAAGAAAGCTCATGAAAGACTACATAGACACAGTGAGTTTTTCAAAGAGCAACCCTTTCTTAACCTTTTACCAAAACACTCAAAACAATCAATTAATGGCCATTCAATTAGACTACATATTTGTCAAAATCAAATCTGGCTACCTCAATTTTAAAACTACTACTAGACCAGGTAATTTAGACTATCTTCTAGTAGAAAGTACAATTTTAGGCAAAAATAATTTATATCATACACTACTTTGAAGATTCAAAAAAGAACATTGGTATAACTTAAAACTGAGAGCTGAAATTATAAAAGAACTACAAGAGATAAAAGAAGTGCAAAACTGGGATCTTCACAAATGCATATTACAATCAATTGTTAGAGCTTTTAAACCAAACACAGCATCAGAAAAAAAGATATAATTATTACATAAAAAACTATACAAACTAAACAACCAAATTGCTAATAATTCTGATTTAGAAAATCTTCAACTTATTGCTGAACACATGAAAACACTAATCCAAGAAGAAGTTACATCTCTTTCTAAAAAAAAAATGGCAGATTCAGTCAAATGCTAAATGGATAGAAGAAGGAAAAAAGTCTACAAAATATTTCTACTTCCTCTATAAAGCTAAACACACAACCTCCTGCACAGCAGAGATAGAAATACCTAATAATACAGTTCTACAGAGCCCCACTAATATACTAGCTAACATTAGAGACAAATACCAAACAATATACAAAACAGAGAAATTTAACATAAAAGCTGCCATCAAGAACTCTTTCTGCAAATCCATTGCACAAAAATTAACTAAAAAATTCATCCGTCTAAAAGTAAAGTTGTAGTACACAGTCACCTGGTCAAAACAAGCTCTAAACAAAGACTTTTGACCCAATATTGATCAAACTACAACCAAATTCAATATTTACTCTCTTGCAAAACTTTTTTTCTACTTTTTGTCCTTACCCTATTCTCTTTTTTCATTATGTAACTATAATCATTTCCAAATTCATATCTTATTAATTTACACCAACATTTATAATTGACCTATTTATAAACATTTATTCAACACAATCAATTATTACTATATTTGGTCTTTATCTATATTACACAATAATTTGTATTACAATTACAGTTGTATCTAGTACCCAAGTCACAGTAGTGACCCTAACCATTCTAGTTACACCCTAGTACTACTTCAGTGATACCTCTACAATACAACCCTTGTTTTTATCTACTACCCTTGCAATATTAACACTTATAATCATATTCACCACTTAGTAAAATTTTCTAAGTCTTAATTCTCTTTTTCTTTCTTCCTATCTTATCTGCAATTCTACAAAATGTCTACTTTAATTTATCAAGAGCCTGATACTGCAGACCTTGATTATTTCTACCAAAACTTCTTTGACAGTTTTAGAATCGTTCTCTATGAAGAAGAACAAGGCAACAAGGCTTGTCCAATTCCTCCTAAAATCCAACCAACCTCCTGTTTAACAAAAAATCTTAGATCACATAAGATTACATATTTCTTCCAAGCTTCCTCCTCTACCTCTGTAATTACTTGCCTTTGTGGCAAATATCACACTAAATTTATCTCATCTACCAATACCAATCACATCCAAGCTACTGATTTTACTACCACTCATATCAATAACAACTCCAAAAAACTTAACAAAACAAATCAAGATCTTATATCTAACATCTCCTTCTCTATTAATAGTGTTCCTTCATCTCCTACACCTGATGTACACTACCACACTTGCCCAAAATGCTCTGTTTCAATTAGTTGTACTAAAATAAATGAGTGTCATTATTCTATTGAAAAATATGTTACCAAAAACAATGAAGTCTATCATCTTATCTGTATAACTGCCTCATCTCAGCATGAAGCTAGTTCATTTCAAACCAAGAAAAATCTTACCTAAACTTTTCAAAATATCTTAATGGAATCAAACCAAACTACTAACCTCAATACTAATTTTTCTAACCAAACTTTCTCTACTACTTCTGACCTTATTGACTCTTTCTTCACTACAACTACTTATATTAACCCTACTTCTAACCAACCTTTTATTACTAATATTTCTGATAACTCCAACTTAAATACCAATAACTCTAGCAATATTAATCAACCTGACAATATCTCTAACAAACCTTTTCTCCAAACTTACTCCAGTGTAGCTAAACCAAAATCCAACCCTACATATGACTGGCTTGCAAATTTTCTAATTACTGAAGAAATGCAATCTAACAAAAAATTACAGACTACATTCTCTCTTTAACTCTTTACTTTCCTTAAAAAATTTCTTTATGATTTTTATCCTGGTAAAGAAATTAAACCAGCTACCCCTACCCAACTTGCATTCAAGGCCTCATTCTATTATATTATTCATATCATGACTAGACAGTGACCAGAATTTTTAACTGATCTCATTTACAATAACAACTCTAATATCGATAAAAGTGCTACTATTCTATTTAACCTACTTGAATCTATTCTTAAAAATTTATTGCTTAAATTCACAATCATCCTTTTTACAAAACTTAACTATTTTGAAATCTTTTGCTTACCAGTTACTATTCCTCCATATACTGCTCACAACCATCTTCAACACTGTCTTAATCTTGCATGATTTCACCTTATAACTATCAATCAATCGATTACCAAAAATTTGCTAAAGATTTAAAGCTTAGACCTAAAAGATTCAAAATTAAATCTTTTACTCAAACTACTAACCTTGACTAAAAATACCTTATCATTCAATCAGATGCTAAATTTAATATTAAGCTTTTCTTCAATATTCCAAAAACACTGTTCCTTGAAAGATTTTGCATTCCCTCTTTAAAAAACTCTTTTGATCACTTTAATTCTTAGTTTGAAACCTACTACCCCCCTTACAGTCAACAATTTTCTTCTACTATTGACAAAGAAAAGTCAAAACTTCTCTTTGGATTCAATTCTGTCAGCACTTTATTCTTCAACTTTCCAAGCACCTTTCTGAATCCTATATATTCCAAAAACACAATTCACTTCATGAGTGACATGAAAAGCATCACATGTTGCAAATTT